CGGGAGCGAGGGAGAAATAATTGTGCACGGCCTCTCTGAATGAACTGGATTCAAATCTATCTGGAGTGCAGGTCAAGCTCCTTGCTCTATTCTTCAGTTTTGATGCTTTTGGTAAGAAAGGACGACTGAAGGATTTTGCTCCCGGCTGATAAAGAAGCCTTTCTTGCTGCGTCGGCTGCTGGTTTTTATTTATATGCAGATCTGTGCTGCTATTAATCAGTGTGTGGAGTGTGAGGTCATCAGAACCGCACGTACCTTTCTGGACCCCCACCACTGACTTGGACAGGTAAGCCCCATATTACATTTACTAGCATGCCGATGGGTGGGATGAATGGACACTTCTGATCCACTTACAAGGGAACCCTGACTTTACCAAAACAGAAAAGTCCAGGATAAAAAAAGTTACATTCCTATGCCAGTCTCCCCATTATGAACTGGTTATGCCCGGAAATGAAAAAGTATTTTAAAGTGATATAACAAAATAGCAGCACACATACCCTCATATATGCATACATTAGGGATCAAAGGGTATCTAAACCCAATAACAAGAATGTCATATATTGCAGCTTACCAATCCTAAGATAAGGTGCTTTATTTCAGACGTTTCTTCCTTCATCTTCACATCGTCTATTCTGCCACTAACACACTTCCTGCACTAGGGTGACAACGATCGCTCACTGTATTGTACGGAGGAGTAGCGGTGTCACCCTAGGCTGCTCTCCTGTATTTTTTTTTTTTTTAAGCTGCAGAAAATTTAGTTAGCCTGGAAAAAAAACACAAATGCAGTCACAACATCTAAGGACTGTCAAGCTGTGATGTGTTACCTTATGTTCCCCGGACTTATTTACACTCATGAAATGTATCCATATTTAAAAAGACATCAAGAAAAAAACACTGCATTTTCCTTAAATTATGTGGAAATGGTGAGAGTAAGAGAGAAAGAGCAAGAGAGAAAGAGAGAGCGAGAGAGAAAGAGCAAGAGAGAAAGAGCAAGAGAGAAAGAGCAAGAGAGAAAGAGAGCGAGAGAGAAAGAGAGCGAGAGAGAAAGCAAGAGAGAAAGAGAGAGCGAGAGAGAAAGCAAGAGAAAGAGCAAGAGAGAAAGAGAGCGAGAGAGAAAGAGCAAGAGAGAAAGAGCAAGAGAGAAAGAGCAAGAGAGAAAGAGAGAAAGCAAGAGAGAAAGAGCGAGAGAGAAAGCAAGAGAGAAAGAGCGAGAGAGCGAGAGAGAAAGCAAGAGAGAAAGAGAGAGCGAGAGAGAAAGCAAGAGAGAAAGAGAGAGCGAGAGAGAAAGCAAGAGAGAAAGAGAGAGCGAGAGAGAGAGAGCAAGAGAGAAAGCAAGAGAGAAAGCAAGAGAGAAAGCAAGAGAGAAAGCAAGAGAGAAAGCAAGAGAGAAAGCAAGAGAGAAAGCAAGAGAGAAAGCAAGAGAGAAAGCAAGAGAGAAAGCAAGAGAGAAAGCAAGAGAGCGAGCAAGAGAGAAAGCAAGAGAGCGAGCAAGAGAGAAAGCAAGAGAGCGAGCAAGCGAGAGAAATGAGAGGAAGATAAAAAGGAAATGAAACAAGCAAAGCAATAAAATAAAGAAATAAGAAAAAAAAAGAAAGAAAGAAAGAAAAAAAAATTAAGGAGGAAAAAGATAGAAAATAAAAAAGGAGATAAAAGAAGAAGAAATAAGAATGAAAAATGAATAAGAATAAAGGAAAGGAAATTAAAAAAAAGAGAAAAGGAGAGAAAGGAAAAGGAAATGAAGTACAGAAAAAAAAAGCTAAGTAAATACTAAAAGAAAGAAAAAAGGAAAGAGACAGTGAAAGAATAAAAGAAAGAAAAGTGACTTTCCATGTCCGACATTCTCAGGAGGGACTTGGAGAACAATGCAGATATATGACAGTGGACATCGATCAATTAGTTTTCTGGGAAATATTGTCAGTAATCTGTAACAAAACGAACATTTCCTCCTCTACTTGTAACTGCTCTCATGGTCCCAGACATGACCCATCTCCCACAATGTCCCGCTCCGGCCCCGTGCATAGACACTGACCTTCCCGGTAGGTTATAGAATGAGTGTCCGCGCACCGGTCGCCGCTCCCATCAATGTTCCGCCTGTCAATCATACACTACCCCCGGCTCGCCGAAGTGAAGAGTAAGCCCCGCCCTCTCGCTACACACCTTGACAGATCAACCAGTCACGGTAAGGGTGTGTCCGCTCCCAGCCAATGAAGGACGAGGTGTCTCCCGTCTCTTTAGACTGTACCAGTGAGCCGCAGGCCAGTGATCAGCTCCAGGGAGAGAGAGATGAGGAGCAGATCCGGGACTGCACCATGCCAGCCGGCCTCCACCTATCCCTGGCCGCCCTGTGCCTGCACCTCCTGCCCGTCACCATCCTGCTGCTGCTGCCTGCCGATGCCTACTTCGGGTCAGATACCTTTCTTATTACTCCTGTCACCTGTCTCTTGTATCTCGGGTCACCTTCTCCCACTGCTATGACTTTATGGTGACTCTAACTTTCACTGTCCCCTGATATTTGATGCCAATGTATTACCTAGGCTTTCTTTTCTAAGTACTGATGTAGCTGTTATCAGCCCCTCTCACCCAGGGTCCCCTGCAACATTAGGGTCAACCAGGGTCCCCTGCAACATTAGGGTCAACCAGGGTCCCCTGCAACATTAGGGTCAACCAGGGTCCCCTCTAGAAGTTATTGGGTTTAGTGATTCCTTGCGCAAACAGCAATTTCTGCCCCTCAGTTACCACTAAAAATAGTTCAGAGATGTGTAAGGAGGGATTCTTCCCATTGACCACCAATATAGGAAGCATCCTTCTCACTGACCAACATAAGGAGCATTCTTCCCACTGACCCACAATGTAAGGAGCATCCTTACCACTGACCCGCAATATAAGGAGCATCCTTCCCACTGACCCGCAATATAAGGAGCATCCTTCCCACTGACCCGCAATATAAGGAGCATCCTTCCCACTGACCCGCAATATAAGGAGCATCCTTCCCACTGACCCGCAATATAAGGAGCATCCTTCCCACTGACCCGCAATATAAGGAGCATCCTTCCCACTGACCCGCAATATAAGGAGCATCCTTCCCACTGACCCGCAATATAAGGAGCATCCTTCCCACTGACCCGCAATATAAGGAGCATCCTTCCCACTGACCCGCAATATAAGGAGCATCCTTCCCACTGACCCGCAATATAAGGAGCATCCTTCCCACTGACCCGCAATATAAGGAGCATCCTTCCCACTGACCCGCAATATAAGGAGCATCCTTCCCACTGACCCGCAATATAAGGAGCATCCTTCCCACTGACCCGCAATATAAGGAGCATCCTTCCCACTGACCCGCAATATAAGGAGCATCCTTCCCACTGACCCGCAATATAAGGAGCATCCTTCCCACTGACCCGCAATATAAGGAGCATCCTTCCCACTGACCCGCAATATAAGGAGCATCCTTCCCACTGACCCGCAATATAAGGAGCATCCTTCCCACTGACCCGCAATATAAGGAGCATCCTTCCCACTGACCCGCAATATAAGGAGCATCCTTCCCACTGACCCGCAATATAAGGAGCATCCTTCCCACTGACCCGCAATATAAGGAGCATCCTTCCCACTGACCCGCAATATAAGGAGCATCCTTCCCACTGACCCGCAATATAAGGAGCATCCTTCCCACTGACCCGCAATATAAGGAGCATCCTTCCCACTGACCCGCAATATAAGGAGCATCCTTCCCACTGACCCGCAATATAAGGAGCATCCTTCCCACTGACCCGCAATATAAGGAGCATCCTTCCCACTGACCCGCAATATAAGGAGCATCCTTCCCACTGACCCGCAATATAAGGAGCATCCTTCCCACTGACCCGCAATATAAGGAGCATCCTTCTCATTGACCAATGTAAGGAGCATCCTTCCCGCTGGCCCCCAATGTAAGGAGCATTCTTCCCACTGACCACCAATATAATGAGCATTCCTCCCACTGACCACCAATATAATGAGCACTTAGTAATTATTGTCAGCGGTTTACTGAGACCCGGAGTTATTTCAAGGGTTCCTCCATGTTAAAAAAGGGTTGAGAAAGGCTGTATTGGATTAGGATAACTGCAGACCTGGACACGACGTGGGGCACAGTCTGAGCATTGTTTGTATTATATCTGTTGACTACAAATCCCATCATGATAATTCACTATGACTTTGTATAACCTGCAAAATATCTTCTGTAATCACCTACACTGGTGGTGCATGTGCGATATTATCATTCCCTTTCCATACCTACCTCCATCCCCCTCCGATCACTGCTCATCCCTATCCTCCCCTCTGTCCTCACTCTTTCTGCACTTCATACACGGTCATGATCCCTCTATATTGTAGCTGCGATCAAATAAACCAAAAGACATATTTAATAGTAATACCAGATTATCCTCGTTAAGAGATTATCTCGCACTCTTTCATGTGCCGTCACATGGCACACAGCAGCGGTCATATAAAATGATAAAATTTACTGAACTCATACGACTCCAACAAAACAGACTTTTCCTGAACAAACCCATTGATGTATACATGAATAAGGAATCACATATGTACTCAAGCCATGGGTAGCACTGGGAACCAAACATTGTTAGATGCTTGTTCAATATTTTTGGAAATGGCCACAAATATTTATGGATTATTGTTATTTGTACTTTTAGAAGTCAAACATTTTCTATAGGATTATATTTAATCTTCCAAAATGTTACATTGATCTATCTATTCACCATCAGATTTTAACTGCCTAAATAACAACAACGTGTGTTCTTAGTAGAGGAAATCTTAATAGATTTGCTATAATGTACAGTGATCATACATACATACATTACTTTTTTTAAGTTTATTTATTTAATTCTTTTTGCTGGCACCAGCTTTTCAGTCTAGGTACCTTTGTCTAGGTAAAACCACCAGCGTTGCTCTTGGCCACTGCATATATTTTAGGGGTATATTTATAAAGCAGAGAATAGGGCTTTCACCAAACATTCTCAAGGGGGTTAATCATTCCCTGCAACTTCTTAAAACACATGCACCAGGCAGTGAATATTCAGTGAATGTCACATTGATTGCATATGTTATACAAGTGTTATGATGGCTCTATAATACAACTATATATGATACATGTTTGCATCTATATAGAGTTTGGGGAAGAGGGGAGGGAGCAGCTAGGTAAAGGACTACTGAACGTTTGGGATATTCTTGAGCAATCACAGGGACAGACCACTACTGGACACAAGGACAGACTGGACAAATTTAAGTGTGATGAGCGTGGTAGGTCACCAGGCTGCTCAACAGTACAAATGTGTTCACAGACACACATATATAATAATATATGTATATTAATAAATATATGTGCATGTGTGCGTGTATGCGTGTATAAATATATAAACTGTTTTCAGTTAGGAGGGGGTTAAGGCCACTGGATAGATACCTGTTTTTCATCTTCTTTTCTCACCCTTCTCTCCGGCAGATTTCCCTTTCCTGTTTTCTCACAGTCCGTTCTCTGCCCCCTCCCCGCATGTATCTCTTTCTCTCTCAGTATTTGTGTACAGTGATCTGTGCTGAGCTCTCAGACCTTGAAATGAAGATATTGTCTCCAAATATTTACATTTATGAGATCACACAATATGGGTAAACTGCAGGTGAAGGCAGGGAGGGACGGAGAGATTTATCAGCCAAATATACACAATGCACCAGCGAAATGCAAATGGCAAAACACAAATCCTCGCCTCTCAAATATCCTCAATTAAACTCCCAGATTGGTTTGTCTTTGGCCTATAATATATGCAATTTTCAAATGACTGGTATATCCAAATTCCACAGTAAATATTCATGGTCTTCACTTTATATATGTGGACCTTACTGAACAAAATGCAAGAAAACTCAGTCCCAACAAGCTCTTAAAAGTGATAAACATTAGTAAAATCACCCCAAAACTAATCACATCGTTCCCTAAACTGGTCCTCCGTACAGAAGTACTTAGCAAGATTATTTTAGAATGTTACTAACACGCAATATACCTGCGTGGCCAGGAAGTGTAAAAACATGACCCATAAGGCCAAGGTCAGACAGAAACCAAAAAAAACAAGCTTCAGTAGTTTCCATACTAGAAAACTAGGTTTACCATGAATAACAATGCTGGCCATATAAGTAACAGTTTCATCATTTATTATACAAAATGATCTTCTATTCTAAACATTTGACTGAAGTCATTGTACTGATCTATAAATGATCACTAATCAAACAGGAATGATCCATCCTGGAGGACTATTTAATCAAATTTGACCAAACTGACTTATTATCATTGTGTTGAAAATCAATTCATATGATCGAATCTGAGATCAATCTTTTATATTTACATATCTGGTCAGCAGAATAGAAAAGAAAATTAGAATTTAGAGGTGGGCCCTAAACAAATGTTAGAAATCGCTTTCTAATATGGATCAGCCGGTATGATGGGCATAGAAAACACTACATATAGCTTTCCATTATGGATCAGCCGGTATGATGGGCATAAGAAACACTACATATAGCTTTCGAATATGGATCAGCCGGTATGATGGGCATAAGAAACAATATATCTATATATAGATAGATATCCATCTATAGATATATAGTATTTTTTTATTTAATTTTAAATATTGTATTTTTATTATTGTTTTCAATAGGATATACTGTACATAGTCTCTACAGGTCTGTACAGGTCTCTGTACATAGTAAAAGCTCTGTGCATAGTTTAACAGATCTAAAAAACTTTTCCTAAAGAATTGAAAAGCACAGAAAAAAAAATGTTTGGTGACCTTTCCACCAGGGTTAAGAATTAAAAAAAAAAAGATTATAAAGTTTTGTTTTTTTTAACATTTTTAAAGTAGGAAAAAATCATATCCTGTATGACTACTGTAATTGTGGGGTTAGAATGTGTGAAGGTTTTGATGATCTTTTGTACAGTCACGTCCATGCAAGGTCATGGTAGATTCCAAGCAGGAAACTCCAAAGAGACTTTCTCTGTAAAAATGTAAATATTTTTGTTCCTCTGAAGGTGTCAGTTTGTGTGTAGGCTAATTTTTACATCTGGAAAATTTAGCAACTGTAATGTTCCAAAGAATTAATTGATGTTGCCTTCACCAGACATTTAGTTTTTTTTGTGCAGTAACATGCCTAGATGCATCCTATATGCAGTGTGACCCATTTCAACAGAAAACACAAAACTGACCTGAAGAGAGGAGGAGACTAGTTTTGCAAACTGGATGAATCCAGGGAATTCAATGATTATTATTTTTTTTTTTTATTTGTTCAAATATGCGCAGATTTGTCCAATCAATGGGCATTCAGGCAACCACAGGTCATGTATTCTAGAGCACAAATTAATATCATATATTTGGAATGTGTGAATGTATTGTAATTTGGTGTGAACAGTTAAGCTTCTATTAAATCAAGTTTTTGTTAGGTTTTTTTTTTTTTGGTATTTATGTTAGTTGTTTTTTGTTTTTTTAAATCAGAGACTACATTTCTGTTCTGAAAATGTAGGAATGTGCTGTGTGATGTAAATAACACGTCTGAATAAAGGTATTAGAAAAAAATTCAAAATAACAAAATCATAGTATGTAAAAAAAAAAATACACAATTGCGTGAAATATTCATATAATCAGATGTAATGAGAAAAAAAAAGAACCAATAATTAAACAATACATCTGTAATCTAGGCAGTAAATGCAGAACATTTACATATAAAGCTATTTGGGTACTCGGGGAAGGGTGATATAGTATGTAATAACATGCCAACGTCCATTGGTAATTTCACCTACAAAAGACCACCAAATACTTTATACAATAGTCACTTTGAGAAGCTTAGCACAGGAGGAGGCACCCCGCCGGAGTAAATGATCCGAGAGCTTATCGCCCACCAGAGTTTCATTTTACACGTGTAATATACAGGGACAAAATCATGTGCGTATGTAGCATGCAACATCTACACATATAAAATACTTCATTTACAAGACAAAAAGCAATGTATAAATCACAAATCGATAGTAAAAGAACTAAATCAACATTCATCTTTCCTATTCCTAAAAATGCAAAATGCGATCAGTAGTTATGAGTTACTACACTCTGTCTGGAAAACCTATACCTATTACATCTGAATACCATCTTTGAATACCCATTGCACTTGTATATATAAATAAGACCGGCTACAAACTGCTCACAAGAAACAATATATGGAAGGTTGGAACATGGCTTGTGACAGCTGGGTTTTACTGGAGTCAATAGCACACCAATAAGGAGTCATTTCGAGTGCCACAGTCCTTACCTACGCCATTGCTTGGTGCTACGGAAAATGGCTATATCATGTAGTGTGTACAAAGAGAGGCACTGCCTGTCTATGGTCACCCTAAGTTACCTTTCCAGTTGTTGTATTACCCTATGCAGCCATGTTTCTACAAAGAAAACTTGAGGACCTTCTTGTTTGTATACTTATATCCAAGTCTTTCCTACTCTGAATAAGTCATGCCTAAAATGCTTTTCTTGTCCATTCTGTATACAGACTAACAAGCAAGGAGTCCCTCTCTCACTATACATCACCTGCGATTGGCAGCACCCACAGCCGACCCCACCTAAAACAGTGTGATCTGCTGCCTTTGACCCGCCGCCAGCGGAGACTGTGCAGGAAGGAGCCCGGCCTGGCAGAGGCCCTAAAGGAAGCTGTACGACTGGGCATTGTGGAGTGCCAATTCCAACTGCGCAGTGAACGCTGGAACTGCAGCCTACAGGGCAGGGGAAGCCTCTTGAAAAGAGGTAGGTTGGTAGGGCTAACCATGGCTCATCAGTAGCAATACTCTTTAGATCAGGGGTGGGCAACTCCAGCCTTCCTGCTGTGCTTTCACTACAAATCCCAACATGCTTCTGGGAGTCATGTCTGTAACGGTCAGTCTCGCAATGTCTCATGGGACAACAGCTGGATTTGCCCACCCCTATGTTAGATAATAATAGAAGAAAGGTTTAACCTAAACTAAGGAGCCAACCTCCGAGAGTTAAAGCAAGGTACATTGTCTAGTGGAATCTGGCCTAGGAAGTGGAGATGTATGACACCTACTCCCTAGCTTTACCACTAATATTGTGGTGGTCATTATGAGTTTAGCAGTGATTATGGTGGTGGTCTTTCCCTAGGTGCACTGGTGTTCATTGTGTGTCTCCTAAAGAGTGGGCATGGATGAGGTTTATTACCTTGTTTTATCAGTAATAATATGGTGGTCCTACACTAAGTTTAGTGGACAGCACAGTGGCATAATGGTCTTTGGTTCTATACCTGGCCAGAACACTATCTGCATGCAGTTTGTATGTTCTGTGTTTGCATGGGTTTTCTCCAGGTACCACTGTCCAAAGACATGTTAGTAGGTTAATTGGCTCCAGTCTAAATTGGCCCTAGTAAGTGTGTATGTACAGTATATGAGATGGGGACCTTAGATTGGGGGTAGGGACTGGCTTCTGTCTAAATTGGCCCTAGAATGTGTGTATGTATAGTATATGAGATAGGGACTGGCTTCTGTCTAAATTCAGCTTTTTACTAGCCTATAAGGCAGCACCGTAAAACTGGTGGTACTGCACAGTTTATTTAGTTAGCAGGAAAAGGGTTAATGCTCTTCAGTAAATCACTATCTGGGCCTTATAATTATGAGTTTATTAGAAAGATGCAGCAATGTTTTAAGTAGTTAGCACTTTTGGCGTGCCAATAATTTGTCCTTTTCTGCAATTACATATAAATGAATGCAAAAAGGCTTTTAAGAGAAGTAATGAATAATAATAGTAATCAGTAAAATTGCTCTCTCTACAGGATTTAAAGAGACGGCATTCCTGTATGCGGTGTCGGCTGCAGCGCTGACTCACTCGTTGGCCAAGGCCTGCAGCGGAGGCAAGATGGAGCGCTGTACATGCGATGACTCTCCTGGCCTGGAGAGTCAGCGAGCTTGGCAGTGGGGGGTGTGCGGGGATAATCTGCGACACAGCACTCGCTTTCTGCAGAACTTTTTGGGCCAAAAAAAGGGGGGAAGAGACACAAGAGCCAAAGTGGACCTACATAATACTCATGCTGGCATTAAGGTGAGTGCACGACAATTAGCAGAAAATCCTGACTTAAGAGTCTTTAAACACAAAAAGGAGATTTGGCAGCCTCTAAAACATTAGTAGGAAGGAGACAAGCACTTTATACAGCCAGCAGAAGTTATACATATAAGATAATGCCTTCCTACACACACATCTGTGCAACAAATGCATTAAAGGATGCACAACAGAAACTTGTTTAAATTACAATTTACACATGGCACAAGTTGACATAATCCACAACTACAAACACAAAAGCATTATATAGACCTAAATGTTTCTATTTAGAATACCGGCAGAACAAGGCAGTCAAAGCGTTTCATGTCTGCACTCTAATTAAGACCAGACGCAGTAGACTCTGTGTCCCAACTGATTGCCTATAGCCAGTGTCTGCAAAGGTGCAGACAAACTGCTTGTAAGCCACCAGGAATAGCCAATTAGAGGAGTTACAATGGAAAGAGCCCCACTGGTCATATTGAAGACACCGTTCATCAGGTTACTGGACAATGAAAGGAGAAACAGCAGACTGACCAGTTCCTCTCCCTGTCACTCTAGCTTTTGCCCTTGCTAGTACATGAGCACTGTGGAACAACTGATTTGCTCCCTTGCACTGATTCTCCTCTACCACGCAGAGCTCTGCTGTACAGCAGGTTGTAAGAGGCTAATACCAGCTACTTACCCGGCTTGCATTGAGAAAATGATTGCAATTGCTTAGTAATTAATACAGAGTTGCATTATTATTATTACATAGTATTTATATATAGCGCCAACAGTTTGCGCAGCGCTTTACAATATCAGGAAGACATTACAATCACAATTCAAGACAAGATGGTAAGGAGGGCCCTGCCCCTGAGGGCTTACAATCTAAAAGAAGACCATTAAAGAAGACCTCTCACCTGTTATTTAAGTAGATAATTACATGGACATTTTACAGAAAGCCAAATAGCTTATTACCTTGCTCAGTGGTACACAAAATCCTCCTACCGTTGCTGTTTGGGCTTTAGGATCCTGTGCCTCCATTTAAAATATTATATCATTGTTGGTTGGCTGATTCTTCCTACTTTTTGGGGCCAATCTCGTGCATGTGGCCTTAGGCAAAATGGTATGGCATGTGAAGTTCCTAAGATTTCACAAGATCTTGCATTTCATGCCCAAGAGCTGCCTGGAAAGCACTGGTGATGTAGCCTACCCACGAGGTACTGGCTATGTCTATGGTGCCTAAGGAAGTTCAGAAAGGGGAAAATGCTATGTGTCACTTTTTCTTTTGGACAACAACATTTACTTTTTAAAGGGGAAAGGTCTACTTTAATATACATCTGTGAAGGTTCTCATTCATCCAGGTCAAGGTATATCTGTAAAAATTAAAAAAGTCAAGGCTACTGGACTTGCGGTATTTTCTGCATTGAGAAAGCTGGTTGGATGACCAGTGAAATACCAGTGAAACGTCTTCAAGAAAATACAGCAAGTCCAGTTGCCTTGACTTCATTTGTACGATATACTTTAATATACAGTATGCATTTGAAATTATTCTGGAGTTGTGCTTTCAAGCAGTGTCATCACCTCTTTCATTTAAATATTTTTGGCAGGTTTATGTTCGGATCATAATTTATTTTTCCATTTGTTCATTCCCAGGCTGTAAAGAGTGGGTTGAAGACAACATGCAAGTGTCACGGAGTTTCAGGGTCCTGCGCAGTACGCACCTGCTGGAAACAGCTTTCCCCCTTCCACGAGACGGGAGCTCTGCTCAAAGCAAAGTATGACAATGCCGTCAAAGTCCTAGGAGCAACAAATGAGGCAGTGGGGGGCCACGAGTCTCTAGGACATTCCTTCGCTGGCCGTGCTCTGCGCTCTACAGATATGGTTTATTTAGAGGACTCTCCAAGCTTCTGCCGGGCCAGTCGCATCTCTCCTGGGACTGCAGGCAGAGTATGCTTGAGAGAGACTACATGCGACAGTCTGTGTTGTGGTAGAGGGTACAACACCCAAAGCCGAATGGTCACTTTTTCCTGCCATTGTCAAGTGCACTGGTGTTGCCACGTGGAGTGTCAGAAGTGCGTTCAGCAGCAGGACACCTATCTTAAAAGGCAAGGGGTACATCATGTGACTTTTTCAGACTACAGGAACTGATGAAAAAGTACTGGACTTAGTCACAGACCTCAATACTTTGACATGGGGTATACTTCATTCAGTGTTCTACTATATTTTAAATTATAACTATGCAAGATATTTATTTCATGTGCCAAAAAGCCACCACCTCTTACATACACTTTAGATCACTGCCCAACATATGCTGCAACTTTCATGTCAGTTTTGCAACTAACTTTCATCCTTTTTGGTATTTTGTATTGACTGGTTCTGCTTAATCAGTAACATGTAGTAGCGGTCACGTGATTGGTTAAGATCACAAGTAGTTCTCAATATTGGCAGAACATAGGCCATAGTTTCTATTTCTACCTGCAAATGTCTGAACCATAAGTAGGACAGTCTTGTTTATGTAGACAACTAGGGATGCACCGATACCAAGTACAATACTCGGTAGAAGTACAGATACTTTTCCAGCTCAAAGACTAGAGACTACATTTTTGCAAGTACTGATATTTGCCCAAGTACTCACAGATGCAAGTACTGATACATTTTTGTTTAGTGTCATGTGACAGTTTTTCTAAAACAATACAGACTAATGATTTCAGGACAGTGGTGGAGTGCCAGAGCCAGGTCCCAGCTGCAACCCTGGTAGTTCTCATGAAAATGCCAAGCATCGGCACTGGTATCGGTGCATCCCTATAAGACAACCAAGGACTCAACATTTTCTGTACATTCTGTACATGTCTAATTTACTTTGTAAATGTTTCATAAAAAAAAGTGTATAAATGCGGACGTCACCATGCCACTGCAATCACCAGCAGTAACTATGAGATTTTAATCTCTACGGTGACTGTATGTGTCAACAGATAGGTTTGTGACTCAGAATACCAAACGTGCCAAAAAGTAATACAAAAAGCAACTTATTTCAATTGTATTTTATTATAGACATGCACATGTATACCGACACAAGCAGTCAACATAGTAAAATGTTTGATGGCCACCATTTAAGGAGGACACTGTATTACAATAGCATGTGGATTCTGTGAATATTGCTTTTTCAGACCAATAAGAAGTTGTTATTAACATGACTAAAGGCACAGTTCTTTGCTATAAGGAAACAGTTTCGAAGAACCCAATAATGTATTTCAAATCAGTTACAGTAGTGGTCCCAAAACTGCTACCTGTGGGTCAAATGCGGAACTTTGTCACCCACAAACACCAAATGATGGATAATAATTCCTCCCATTGAAATCAACAAAATAACACGATTCCTCGCACTAACACCTACGATGGTGCACAATTCAGCCAACTGACACCAACAATGGGGTACAATTTCTAACACAATCGATGGGGTACAATTCCTGCCACTGATTCCAGCAATGGGGCAGAATTCCTACCATTGACACCAACGATGGGGCACAATCCTTCCCACTGACACCAACAATGAATTACTAATCCTCCGACTGATATAAACAATGGGGCGCAATCCTTCCCACTGACACCAACCATGTGGCACAATTCCTCCTCCCACTTATAGGGGAGCAAGTCATTTTTTTTACTCCTGCTGACCACTGGGTCTGGGCATTTTCTACTCCCATTGGCCACAGTCTGCTCCCCCTAAAGTCTCAAGTACAGTGAACTAACACTTTGTTTTGAAAATCTAAGGACCCCTGAGTCAGAGGAGCAACATGTCCCATAAATGTTGATATGGTTTTTGCATGTTTAATGATTCTGGTAAAAGTGACTTGTTACAAGGTCATGGCTGCCATTTTGTGGGCTGGAGTAATATTAGGCCTACAAATGATCTAGGAACTAGTAAATTGACAAATATAATGGTATGCTGGCACCCAGGACAATACAAACCGTACTTCTTTTCCTTCTGCTGTAACAAGCCCTAACAAATACATGGGCTTGTTAATAAGGTAACTCAAAGTGCAAATAGCTAGTTATCATACAACAGCAGCTAATCAGAGTTCAGTTTACTGAATTTAAAGGATAAAAACTGACTGGTTGCTTTGGGATACTGCACTTTGAAGAACCTTAGTAATTAAGCCCAATAGGGCCTCAAAACATGCATAATGCAAAATGTTGGGCCCATACCTTCTACCTCATGTGTACAGCAATTAGGAACAGTCAAGCAAGTCGAATCTATACATATTTAAGTTATTTAAATCTGCAGTATACCCGCTGCATGAAGACACTTCCTGCCTGCTTAGAGATATGTATATAGGTATTGTTAAAGCAATATATATTTATATTTTGCCACTGTGTACATAGAAGACACTGAACTTCAAATATGTTTATGTACTGCTCTGATATAAAAAGACTTTTTGTAAAAACGGTGTTTTCATGATTGTGGAGTACAATGTAGTGTATTGTGATGTGTAGTACCCTGTTGCTAGATCCCATAGAAGATATCCATTGACTTCCCCAACGTTGGAGTCTATGTAGTAGTTTACAATATAACAAAACCACAAAAATTCCATATTCCAACCACCTTTATCATCCAAACCCTTGGTTCTCAACTGGTGGGTCGTGACCCAAAAGTGGGTCGTGACCTCATGTTCAGTGGGTCCCTGCCTGCCTGCCTTCCACTTTTCTAGGTGAGAGGCTCCTCAGCCTCCCCCTAGTTCAGCACTGTCAGTTCTCGCACCAAGCAGCCATTCAAAATATGCTGACCAGTGCCGAGTGTCAGCTTAAGGTGGGGTGGGCTAGGGCTATGGCTGCGAGCGAGCTCCATCCTTAAGTGCATTGCTTACCGCTCCCTCATGTGTCCAGTATAGGTGCCTGAACAGGAGTGGTGTAACATTCTGGCTCCTGCCACCTCTAGAGGGTGTGCAAAGGAGCTGTGCAAGTGGATACACATATGAATGGAGCTCCGTCACAGCACAGCAGCCCACACTGGACCCCTGGCTAAGGATCCCCTCCAGTTCTCATAAGATAGGAAGACTGTATAGGAATGTATTTTTTTTTTGAGTATGTGTGTGTGTAAGAATGTGTCTGTGGTTGTGTGTCTGTCAGTGTTTTTGAGGGCCTATTCAAACTAGTACAGTGTGTTAATCGCACTGTCCCGTGCAATTAGCGCACTGTACCATGCAACCACACCTACCACGCATTCTGGTGTGAGAGGTGCATTGCCATTCATTTGACTGGCACCCCTAACGCATCTCCCACCCACAGTTCTATTGGCCGCATCAGAACGTGCGGTACAACAATGCCATGTGTTCCATTACAGTGCATTTTGGGTTACAACTAAACGACCAAGGACAAATGTGGGTCCTGAGGTTACACAGGTTGAGAACCACTGATCTAAACCATCAAATAACTAGTCAGTCATAATTAGATAAGCCATGATGGCTATTAGCATATCTTCATCTTACACTTTCAATTCTAGTTGCCTGATATACACTCCTTGGCCAAGAAAAAAAAAGCCCCACTCTAATCTTTCATTGGATCGCTTTTAGCTTTGATTACTGCAAGCATTCGCCATGGCATTGTTTCAATAAGCTTATACAATTTCACAACATTTATTTCCCACCAACTTTTCACCAAGATCATGTAGTGATGGGAGAGTCAGACCACTGAGTAAAGTCTTCTCCAGCACACGCCAAAGATTCTCAATGGGGTTCAGGTCCGGTCTCTGTGGTGGCCAATCAATGTGTGAAAATGATGTTTCAGGCTCCCTGAACCACTCTTTCACAATTTGAGCCCGATGAATCCTGTCATTGTCATCTTGGAATAGTCCTGTGCCATCAGGGAAAAGAAAAACCATTGATGGAAAAACCAGATCATTTAGTATATTCAGGTAGCAAGCTTCAGGTGCCTCGTTTTTCAGGACATAACGTTACCGAACCTAGACCTGAACTGAAGCAACCCCAGATCATAACGCTGCCCGAAATCTAGGTGCTGACTTTCTTTTTTTGGCCAGGCAGTTTATAAGTCAGCAACAGCAGCAATGGAGACAGAGGGAAAAAAAAAGGGACTGGTTACCCCCCTGCTGTGCACTTATGACAGTTGAATAGCTAGTCAGCCTTTTATGCTGCTGCCACTTAAACCACCAGGCCAACTAACAGCCATTTCTAACTTTTCAGATATAGCTACAGAAGGTATCCATGTACTGCTGGAAAAGCCACAGCTACATGTCACAAAGGGAAGGGGAATGCCCATGCCCTGATGGATTGGGCCAGGAAGGGTGGAGGTGTCAGTCACAGTTTTGCATGAGCTTGGGCAAACTGGGTTCACACCAAGCCCCTGCACATCATTAGTAATGAGCACACCAACTTATGGCTGTGTCTGTGAAGGTTCTCATTCATCCAGGTCATGGTACATCTGTAAAAAAATAAGTCGGGGCAACTGGACTTGCTGTATTTTTCTTGAAGACATTTCACTGGTCATCCAACCAGCTTTCTCAATTCAGAATGACTTGTACAATTTTTAGTACGAGTCATTCTGAATTGAGAAAGCTGGTTGGATGACCAGTGAAATGTCTTCAAGAAAAAGACAGCAAGTCCAGGTGCCTCGACTTATTTTTTTACAGATATAACTTATGGCTGGATTCACAGTGTGTGTGTGTATTCGGCCACGTATGTTAAACACATGTCACGTGACACATTACCATGTGTTGCAGTAAGATAGCTCACAATTTATGATTGCACTAAAGACGTGTACAACATATTAAACAAGATGCGTTTTAAAGAAAGGCATCATCAGTGTCTATTATGTGTAATATATTCAGCTACCATATAGTAAGACGCACACATTTTATAGTTCATGGTACTGTGACGACATGGTGATGAGTTTATAAGGTAAATGTGTATTGGTGTTGGGTTATGTTTGAGTGTGTTATGCTGTGTGACCTGGTTATGAAAAGACCATCAGCACCATCCCTAGTTGTTATCTCCCATTGTTCTCTGAGGGAGCTCAGAACAATGACATTCTGGCCAGGCTCCTGCTATGGCTGTCTGGAGCTTTTTAGCAGGTGGACACCTGTGGTGTTGTGAAGACAGGATTTCTGGGGAGGGGAGGGGGGATGTGATGGGATT